AAGAGCGGATGCACGCGCTACTCCATAGCTTTGTGCATGCTGCCGACCGGGGGATTTGGCACCAGTAAGGCCCTGATTCAGCAAAGCAGTTCAGCAAGTAATTCAGATGCACTGTTTCTTTTTAGCCATTCTGAAGCCATGCTCTTAAAATCACACAAAATTGGGTGTTTCTGAGCAGCTGGAGGTGCCCTCCACGCTGCAGTGCTGAGCCGCAGCGGTGTCTGCCCCGCGCAGACGCTGTCCTCAGGGGCTGGTCACCAGCCGTGGCCATGCGCTCTCCGTGTTGCCGTCTGCCCCACCGAGACGTCGCTGTGCTCACGGTTGCCCTGTCCCTGTTACAGGGAATGGGATTTTTGCAATATTTGGATTTGTTACTGCGGGAACTGGGCGCGTGATTAGGAAGTTACCTTCCTTTTCTCTCCTTAAATAATGCAGGAATAGTAAATAAGCTATTGTAATGTATGCATTAGTTGAAAATTTTTTTCATGGGTGTTTGCACCTTGGAAAGAAACTATTTCTTTTCTTACGTTAAGAATTATTTTGAAGTAACCACATTAACAAAACAGAGAGTGAACCTGTGGTTAGTTTCGATTCACAGAAATTGGTCACCTGTGTTTGTGTTTCCCAGCTGGATGAATGTAATTCTCAAAATACACAGAGCTTCCAGTTTAATAGTGTGTGTGTTCCCTGTTACTCACTTACAGTTCTTTGTTTCAAACAAATGCTCTTGCCAGTAATTTATTCTTTAGAAGGTCCCTGCAAAGTGAGCACGAGCCCGAAAGGCACATGAACACACAAGTGAATTCTTGGTTTAAAAGTTGAATGACAAAGTAAGAGAAGTGTTTGCCCAGCTCCCATGCACAAGAAGGGAGTGTTCCCTGCAATGGATGGGCTCTACCCCGGAAAAACAGTGCATACAAAATCATCAGGGGAAAGTTAAATGATTATTTGCTTAAGTGCTTTGCAACCTGGGAAACGGGCCGTCTTCTGAACTTAGGGAAAAAATCTAGCGTCCGTACATAGCATCAAACAATTAGCAGGGTGCCTTCTGCTACAAGAGGGGATAGGCAGGAAGCAGGACCTCTTTCTTGGAGCAGACAGTAATTGAAATGTCAGATGCAACCCACCCTCAGCTGTGGGAAAACGTGCCCCGGCAGCGCAGTGAGCCGGGGCCGAGCGGCCAGGCTGGGCCGTGCGGGGTTCGAGCCGCTCCCGAGGCGGGGAGGAGGGGTGGGGGTCTCCCCCGCATGCGGTTTGCAGGTTAAATGGCAATTTTTTTCCAGCACTGGAGAAGGAAAAAACAGAGTTTCTGTTTCTTGATTGCAGCCTGGAGAGAAGTAGTTTATTTTTAAAACGATTTTGGAGTAACTACATTAATTGATCACGTTAATGAGCATCCCAGTTTTGTAGCAACTGACTTTATGTTTGCATTCACGTGCAAAGAAGTGACAACTGACTTACAGAAATTATTCATATAGCTCCTAGATCAGTTAGAAACAGGAAGAGAGAAGTGTCATTTTCCTTGCTCCAACCTTAGCCTGTTGCTCTCTTTCCTGATTAATGAGGATAATCAGTCCTCGTCTTCTGGAGCTTCTCTGTGTAAGCTATTAAAAGCCTTAATGGTTCTGCACAACCCCGGAAGATTAAACCCATTCTTTCAAGTGTGTTAAAGCAAAAGTGTGCTGAAAGCCACCCCGCTTTGCATTAAAAGACCAACTTGGGCCTCGTGTGAAGCATTGCCCCGTAGCAGCAGGCGGCGGGCAGGGGCTGCTCCCGTGTACCGGAGCCTGTGGGAGGGGGATTGCTGTTCTTCTCATCACCTCTCCTGGGCTGAATTTTTGCCAGACTGCCAGCAACACATGCCTCCCTCGCTGCCGTCTAACGCACAGGTGCCGTCAGCGGCGGCCCGGCCGTTGCCGAAGGCGGCGGTTCCGTGCCGGAGCGCCCTGCCCGGCCTGCCGGCACCCGCACCCGGCAGCGCCATCTGCAACCAGCAGCACGGAGCGAAATTCGACCGTTTCTTCCATTTTCTGTAGTGTTTAAAAATAGCCTGGGCTTTTAAACCGGCCCAGACAACATGTGGTAGTAAAGTAATAACACATTTCCTTTTGTGAAGTTTTCACAGCTTCTGGCTTTCAGTCCCGTTCTGTGAATGCTGGGCCTGAAGCAGCTCAGCAGTTGGATAAAAACCCCTCTCTGCTCTTTGCCTGTCAAGGCAGCGCAATCTTTGCAGGCTTTTCAGAGTGCTAATTTAGCTCTGGCCAGTTCTTCCTCCAGTGCTGAAATGCCAAATAGAACGACTGCGTTCTGGGCGCACCGGGTGTTTTTCAGTTATTGAGGAATTTGTCATTTCCTTTCCTCTGATGTCTTTAGCTGTGAAAATCAAGAAGCCGATCAAGACCAAGTTCCGCATGCCTGTGTTTAACTGGGTCGCCCTCAAGCCCAACCAGATCAATGGGACAGTCTTCAACGAAATCGATGACGAGAGGATCCTGGAGGTACGAGTGCCTCTTGCTGGGTTTTGCTCCCACTTCTGTGCGTAACATACGCAGATGGAGGTCTTTGCAGCAAGAGCTTGCAGCAATTGCTTTGGCAGCCAGTGCACGCGGTCGCCTCTGGTGCCCGGTGGGAGGTGTACGGCCAGCCTAAGTCATTGTAGTGCCTGGGGTGAGAGTTAACTGGACCATAGCCAATAGCACTTGATTATGAAGTGTGCGTACATACTGTGTGCATTTCTTTAAAACCAGTCAGCCAAGATGAGGGAGATTCATTTTTCCTGGTCTAACGCTGCGAGTCCTGTCTAAAGGATTTGGGCTTTTGTGGGTGGCTGTGTGCCAGGGAAGGGAGCCTGGCGAAGCAGCACGGAGGAGAGCTGCATACTCGGGCGTTGCCTGGTCCCTGTGCCGTGGAGATGCACGTGGCTGGATAAAGCCTGAGTGATAGCGTGAATATCTCCCTGAGTCTTGCAACGTGTATGGGCTTGGTTTCCTGGTTACAAACTTGGGAGCTCGTGTTTATTGCACGCTGCAATCCCTGCTTGCAGCGCTCGGCTGCTGTG